ATATAACAAACTTAAGAGTCTTGATTGGTCTTGGATATGGTTCATCTAAAACCTTCCTGTTCCCATACAGGGACCCAAATACAGATTCCATGGCATGTCACGTGTCCAAAATGGGAAACGCTAATTTAGACCAAGGTAGCAATGCACAGTTAGATGACTACACATATGACATACCTCTTCTTGAGACAATTAACTTCACTACAATATCTACAAAAGGAAATTTTAAACTACTTTCAGTTTCATCTCTCTTTGTTCAAGAATTCATGGTTGGTTTAACAACATACTGACAGAAGCGCAGAACCAGGAGAAAAAGAATGGACCAGTATCTCAAAGGTCTAGTTTGGTGCACATCAGAAACACGAAGCATCGGAACAGAGACACCAAGAGGACAGAAATAACGAACAGCTTATTATTGAAATATGTAGTTATTATTTACCATTACTAACAACTTTAAGTGCAAAACTAAAAGCATGCATCCTTACTACTTACATTTATGCAAACAAAATTGTAGCACCATCCTGAAAAGATGTTTAGTAGATGGCTATCATTTTTGCTTAGAGATATCGATATAGCTTCAACCTGATTAGAAAAAAAAAATTACTGTGTCACAAATTTGACTTCAGCCTTAACTATGCTAAACCTTCCACCATTATGGCAGTTGGTTCATTCAAATTATTTAAAACTGGCAATTATTATTTCCACTATGAGAATTTAAAATTGCTCAATTTTTTAGGTGACTGAACAGTGAAGCATAGAGTCCAACGCCCTGCAGAATATTCTGCAAGTTTTTGGTGAAGCATGCTGCTTGGGGGAGCTACTCCAGAAACAGCCCTGGAAGTATCAGACACCAGCGCTGCTGCCTGCCTTTCAGATCTTCCCAGAGATGAAAACACTGTTCATAGGATCAAGACTATCTAACAATTTTAGACCTGAGAAAATCTTTATAACATTCAAATACATATACATTTTTGTCTTGATGCAACTAAAAATAAAATCAATGAAGAAGTATGTATGAAAGACCAGGTGCACAGTTAGTCTAGGATTCTGCATATGACAAGACTCATTTAGAATTTCTCCTGAAAATAATTTCCTCAGTGAATACTTTAAAATACTGTCTTAATCACAGACATACATATTTTGCAACCTTTAACTATAACACCAGCTAAGAAATTATCTTACCCAAATTAAAATAAAAAGTAGATTCTCCTACATTATCAGCTTCAGGATTGTCTTAAGTAAAACACCAAACCAGGGAACAGAAGGGAAATTTGTTCCCTAAGAAAACACTTTGTAGCCAATTTAAAAAAAAAAAAAAAAATTAAAAATAAGGTAAAAAAATCTTCATGTTGCTTCTATTAAACCTGCAAACCTCACTGTTCCACTGCTCAAATGAGCTTTATTTCTGCCTAGAAGACATATTATATATAGCAGCAAACAACAGAAGCAATACACTGCTGTGTTCCCTCGAAATGTCGCTTAATCCACAACCCAACAGAAGTACCACATTCAATATTTAAACAGGCTTTGAGCTGTTATCTTAAGCTGTATTTGTTGCTTTACATTGAGTATATGTACATACATACAATGAATGCAAAACATTCATTTATTAGTTATACAGTTTACAGTAACACTGATTAAAATACCTAAAGTACTTCACAAGCAGTAACTGTTGCCTTAACAATAGTTTTTAGGAAAGTTTTTTTTTTTCATTTTCTTTATCTTATCAGTTCAACTTTTAGGTCTTTTTTCTCCTGTTATTGGCACTATTATGTTATTGGAGTTTCTCTCAGAAATCCCTCTAACAAAATTTCTTTTGAATTCTTCTTTAAAGATTCTTCAAGGACACATCTAGAAGTTAACTAATATCTTAAAAGTAAATATGGCTGCTACTAAGAGCTAGAGTGTAAAAACTATCTAAAATGTTAAAATACTGACCATAGTTAGTTTAAATTTCAGATAATATGTACTCTACTAAATCATTCCCAATTAGTGTTGTATTTAGATCAATGACCCTCCAATTAGCCTGTGGAAAAGACCCAGCTTTCCGTGAGGTATGTTTAACTTGCTTGTACAATGTGATAATCACTTTAGAGTCAAATCTCTCTCGCACAAGGTTACTGTGCTTCACTTGGGAAATCATAGGCCAGTGGATATAGCCTTTCTAAGGTGCTTCAAATTTAGTAGTTCTGTACATTGGTAAGCTTAAAAACTAACTCTTAGATATTTTACTGTTTAAAAACAAGACAGTCAATACATAAATATTAGTTTTTATAGATTTTCAATCTAAGGGTTCACAAAAATGAATGACTAAGGACGTTTCAAGGAACAATACAAGACGGATCTTGATGGAGTTCTTTGGGAAGTGTCAGTCCAGGAATGTTTCGAAAGCGTTGAAGAGAAATTTAACAGTTAACTTCGTTATGAGGAAAGACAACATGGATCAAAAAAGAGAAGAACAGTGCTAGAAATCATCAACTAAATGAACTGATTTAATAGAGCCATCAAAAAAAATCAGTCCCATATCAATAGGAATCCCTTTATTTTATGCCCTCATTACCTTGTTTGTGGGCATTTTACATGTATTTTATTCAAAAGTACCACAGGTTCAGGTGACCGGCCAATCCAACAGTTAACTGGTTTTGCAGTGAAAATTTGGAAACATGTAAATTTTAACAAGTGTTGGTAGCAGTCTGATTTGAGGTTGCTAAGTTTGGAGTCACAGTGTTGGCTGATCAAACATAATGCATTCTGTGACTTTTCTTACTGGCTTGGAAGTGTTTGTCATAGTATGATTGAAGTGGTTATATGCAAAGATAATATATAGCTATAGATAAGTCAACACTTAAAGAAGTACCTTTTTTCTAATATGGGTAAGTGATGTGTTCCTAGTAGTTGCAGAATAGCGTAAATGGAGAGAAAAAAAGGAAAAATAGCAATAGATCTGGTATCAGTGAAATGGAAACATACTTCTGCTCCATTACACAGCTATTCAGACGAGACAAGATCTTATTGAACTCTGCTAATGTTTTGCACTTTTAAATGTAGACATTTAATAGATATAAAGCATGATTTTTCCATACTAAATACAATTCTTTCCAAACAAAAACTGTGAGTAAAATATCAAATGACATTTCTAGATATAAAATAGCAATATAGCCTGCTACAGAAGAACATCCTACTATTAACTACACACACAATGCAGAAGATCAACAGACATGAATAAAACCACTACAGAAGTAACATTATGAAAATCAGAAAACCTGTATTTTTGAACAGCTATTCCCCACCTGTTTCTCTAGGTAATAGAAAGATGTGATATCATCACATAATTAAGAATTACTCCAAGATCAGTCAAGATTTAAGCAATTACCAAATGTTAATCACCTCTGGGAAAATGAAAATATGTGATGCTTCTATTAGTAGGGATAATGAAAAAAAGAAAATATAGTTAAATGGCAGTAGAAAATTCCATCAATATCCTACAGCAAAGGCTTCAATGAGCATTCACCATGAGTAAAATGTACCCCTATCTCTCTGCAAAAGGCTGATTAATCTGACTTTGCATTCGCAGCTCTGCAGGAATACAACTTACTCTTTAATTGGTTAAGACTTTAATTCATACTTCAAAGTAACAAAAGCATTTCCTCTGTAACATATTTGTAACAATTTGGGCTTACTGAATTCATAAAATGTAAAGAAAATGGCCTCTCTGTTGTCTGGATCCAATTTCTCCTCTAATCTAATATATACATTTTAAGAGGATCTGTAACTTCCTCCTCTACAGCATAATTGGGCAGAAGATGCTTCTTTCTTGGTAACTTCCACACCTGGTGTTAATCCCTTGTAATAAACACTACAGTGACACAGGAGGTCTCAGTTTCTGTATTCACATTATTTAGCATCGTTTCTTACGAGTTGTGACAACCAGAAACTTTAAATTAATAATACAGTTTACAACCATAGAGTTGTACTTACTTTTATTTGGCTTTTCAGAGATTCCTGAAGGAGAAAACCTACTTGTACAACAGCTTCCTTCACATCAGTAATAACACAAACTTGTTGTGATAGGTTGTCTATGATCAAGAAAAAAACCTTAGTATTTCATGCAAAGATAAATCAATCAAAATTATCTTCAATCCATGTACTGCTGTCTCTTGACAGAACCTTTTCAACAGCTGTAAATTTAATTTTAAGATGACTTATTTCAAGGCACAGTTAATATAACTACATAATTTATATAACATTCATCTCAAATACAAAATTCATACTATATTTTATATGATTTTGTACAATGTGGAAACATCACACAAGCCTGTCCTCAAAGCCCATTTAAATAAGCGACTTCTATGAAAAGATATTTTTCCAGGTCCACGTTAATGGCACTAGATGAGAACCAAGAAAATAACTTTGTGAAAACTTCATACCACTTATCACTTTAACAGATCACTAAATGCAGTGTCAGCAACACTGAGGGGGAAAAAAAAACAACAAGAAGAAAACAACAACAACAACAACAACAACAAACCCAAAAAAAACAAACACAGGAGATAGCATAAATCCTGTTCCCAACAACATATACTACATAATAGCCAAAAAAAAAGTATTGAAGATACTGTTCAGGGAGACAGCAGATATAACTGTGCAGTATCAAAAAAGTTGCAGAGTACGTGACAAAGATCTTGGCATAGAGAACTTCTTAGATCTTTTACTCATGGCGAGGGGAGGAAATATAATATTTTGTTGATGCCAAGAACAATAGTTTCAAGTTACTGCCTGAACTGCTCCATAAAGTAAATATTTCAGAAAACTAGTATTTTCTTTTGTTATTGACTACAGTTTCAAGATTCAGGGAGCATTTTCCTTTCTCTAAGCAAACAAATCAAATTAATTCAAGTCTGGAACTCTCACTTCTAATTCAGGATTTTATCCTTTAGATGTTGAATTAATATGCAGTACAAAACATAAGACTTCCAATGTCTTTGGAGTAGCCATTCCATAAGCAGCTTGAAATTTCATAAATGTAGTGTCTAATTATGTTTAAAGCAAACTTCAATGAAACTTCAGGGACAGAAATATACCAACCACCACCACAAAATAAATTAGTAGTGAAAGACATAAAAGAAATTATAAAAATATGGCCTAACTGCTCTTCAAACAAGTCTGAATATAAAGATACATATTTGTTGCATGTGTAAAGGTTTTTTTTTATCATTACATACCACACAATAAGTTCAATCAGATGCATTACTTAAGTAAACATCTCATTTTCTATTGTAAACTCAAAGACTTTACAAAAATAGACATATAGACCTGAAAATTAATTTTAAAGCGGCTGCAGAGTTAACAATATCAGAAAGTGACTTGTGGTTTTTAAGCAATTTTTTTGTGAGCAGGAAAAGTGAATTAACCATTGAGAATCCCAAAAGATAATTACAAAGATTTTATGAATCATGGGCATTTATTATGTCCAGTATTTATAACGCGACAACAAAAATAGTGGCAGCAACTGGCTTTGCATTGAGTTAGCAAGAATGGGGAATGGGGAAGAAAGAAAGAGAACAATAAACATCTGCTTATAAACCATCACAACTAGATGAAAGTGAGAATAAAAAAAGCATGGCCAGTTCTCACAGGACTGGAAATCACAGGATACCACAACTGTGGGAGAAATTGTCTTCTCATAGATTCACTGGGCAAAAAAATATACTGAACATGTATCAAAGTTGGTTTCTACTTAATACAGAGTAAGTTTACAGTCTAAAAGATGGGTCAATGGGAAGCCATATTGAATTAATTTCTTATCAGCAGAAACAAACCAGTGAGTAGATTGAAATCAGAGCAAGAGCCACTTGAATTTAGTACTGTACACAGAATGCAGATACACTGCAGATTCAAGATAGATGTACATAATAAACCAGACTGGCATATCAGATTTCAAGAACTCAGATTCTATTGAACTAAGTGCTTTACTGAAGAAGGTCAGATTGGAGCTATTACAAAAATCCACATGTGGAAGAAGGCTGTGGAATCAAAAAAGGCACCATAACTTACGCTCAGACAGTTCTTTTTAAAAAGAAATCAGTTATCAACAGCAAGTGTCAAAATTAACCTCACAAGAGTCTGCTCAAAGACTGCAAAGATAGGCATAAAAGCCCATCCCATTCCTCTCCACAGCGCCCTTAAACCTCTGACTTCCTGGAATATAAATGAGAAAAAGTGACTAAGTTTCGCAGGTAGAATGTAATAAAGGGGAAAGCAAAATTGAATGAAGTGTGAAAAAATGTATTTTTAATCTGGAGGAGGAATGTAGTGTTATAGGGGGAAAGTCTATTAATAAAGTATGAAAAAATTAAAGTAATGATAATACACACATTGAAAAGATGCTGCATGATTTTAAATGATCAAGAAAAAAAAATCAATAAGCAAGTCTGGGAAATCACCGTTTATAAAATCATCACAGCAAAGCAACAGTTCTGTTCTATTTGAGGTTTAAAACTCAATTTCCATTTAAATCCCAACAGTTTCAAATGCCCAAAAAGATCTATATGTTAATTCAGATGGTCTGCACCTTTGCTGTATTGTGGGAAGGAAGGCTGAGTGGAGCCTTCCTCCCCAAGACTGCCTGTGTCCCACCTCTGGTGAGCCGATGGAGCTCTCTGTCAGCGTAACCACACTGAACCCAGTGAGCGCAGCTGGAGCACTGGCTCCTAACTCCACGGATTTCATGACTTCTGCTGACTGCCAGGAAAGCTAACCACGTTTCATTTCTGGTTTTCAGAAGTCTATTTGGGCGAATGAAACAGTCATTCCAGAAAGCCACATCATGGCCATGTCACAAAGAATTTTAATACTCAGCTAACAAAATTATGATTTTCATCAGACTGCTGGATAATTCAGGCTGGACAGGACCTCAGGAGGTCTCCAGTCCAAACTCCTGCTCAAAATGGGATCACCCATGAGGTCAGGCCTGGTTGCTCAGCCGCTTACCCCCCTGCCACTTTACCACCATTGAGGACGGAGACTGCACAACCTCTGCAGGCAACCTGTTCATTGCTTGATTGTCCTCATGGTGAAAGAGCTTTTCCTTTTATTGAGCTGGAACTTCCCTTGGTCCAGTTTTTGCCTGTTACCTCTTGTCCTCCCACCATGCACAACTGTTCTACTCTTCTTCCCTACTTTCATGCCATACCTTCGTTCTCATTTGCCCAACCTTTTATTTTTTTTCTCTTACTATTACATTACCTTGCTTTGACTTTCTCTACTTTAAACTTAGTATTTCCCCGGAAACTTCCTCTTCCCAATATACATCTCCGACTTACTCTCAGCTTCTTTGCAGCTGCACCTGATTATGGAGTAATCCTCCCACATTTAACATCCACTCAGAGCGTATTTTTTGCATAAAATTAAAACTAGTTAAAACTTTACACTGCCAAATTCTGTTAAGTTAAACATTAAATTTCTCTATCGGGAAAGGGGTAGGAATTTTCTTCATTAAACATAAATTCGAAACAGAATTTCAGAATTTGTTCCATTAAAACCTCCTTCTCTCTCCAGCAGAAAAGTTATTTCAGTTTTTCTGTGCCTTTCTTTGATATTCTGAAAGCTTTAGATCACATTATTATTCAGTAACACCTGTTATAGTCTTTACCCTAAGATCCCACCCAAAATTATAAATTAAAATGTGGGTATGTTTAGGGAACTACCTTAGTTAGATAATGTATTAAGTATACTCTAATGACTGACTTAAAAGTTTACCCTGAAAAGCATGCCACAAACAAGCAATTAAAATACTTTGTATGAATAAAGATCATAAATATCATATCCTAGAGAATTAATACCATAAGAATAAAAATGCGTCTGAATGGCAAATAGGTTTTAGCCTACAGACGTAAATTTTTTCTCTTAATTGTACATATATGTGTATACATACACTTGTTTTTGTAAACATATGTTCATACCATGCCACTCTTGGTCTGTCATTACAACTCCCACTATTTTGGAAGCACATCTTATTCGTAAAAATACTTTTGAAGTTTGCAGTGAATTCAAAACAGTAAATTAATTTATCAGAATTCCATTTTCACTTTCTACACAGCAATGGCTTGACTGGTCTGGAAATTCAGTATGGTTCTCCCTGGTATTTTTAGTATCTCATAACAGAGATGTTTCTACCGCTGTAAACACAAGAAAAACGAAATAATTACTGCCAAGCATTTAGTTTATTCATGCTCAACAGAATGAGTTTAAATTGTTATTCGTTTAACATAGGTAACCAAAAATATCTAACAATTTTTTGTTTACCCATTCCACATTTCTCTGCAGCCACAAAAACCAAAAGCCAAACTTGACACTGCCCCTACCAATATTACTATACAAGAAAGAGAGGAAGATGTTGTGGTAGAAACACAAGGAAAAGGGTGGTTTTCACCTGACAATAACTGAGGAGTACCTCCTCACATGCCAGTCTATTTCTTTGCCTCACAGCAGAGAACAGCCACTGGTTAATGAGTGTGCCCATGAAAACTGAGCCTACCTTGAGTAAGATATCTGTCCTTTGACAAACAAGGCTTACGTCAATTTTTCTTTTTATTAAAAAAAAAAGTCACATGGGTACTTCATATAACACAAAACATAGTATGTAGCTCCTAACAGTCATAAACAATTTGAAGGCATTACAATATTTTCCTTGGCACTTGCAAAACACAATTGTATCTACATCGGCAGATACTTATTTAGCCAAATGTGAGAGCAAAACATCCAATCCACAAGTGCATGCTCTTGTGAAAAAGTCATTGCAGAAGGGCCCTTAAGAAAAGAAAAAGGAGGAGAGAGTCTCAAACTTCAAGTTACAAACTTCTACAGAGAAGCACTATTTAAAAGTTTACATGTTGGAACTAGAGCTCAAAGATACTTACCCCAAAGGCAGTAGCCCTAATGGAAATTTTTAGGATGTTTTGTATTAACCTGATCTTAACTACATTTCTAGATGAGTCACCCTTAGTGTAAGATGATGTTTTCTTACGTCAAGACTATTAAAAATAGGCGTGTGTCACCTTGTCTGCATACTCTACAA